TGGTGGTTTATGGTGATTGTTTTCTAATATTGAACCATCCTTGCAACTCTGGTATGAATCACACTTGATCATGATGTATATTTTTTGATATGTTGTTGAGTTCTATTGGCTATGAATGATTTTGCTGAGAATTTTTGCATCTACACACATGAAGGATATTGGTCTATAACTCATTTTTAGTGATGTTCTTCCCTAATTATTGATATGAAGATTATTATTGCTTCACAAAATGTATTAGGACGTTTTTCATAGTTTTCTATATTCTGGAATAGTTTGAACAAAATTGATGTCAGCTCTTCTCTTAATGTTTTGAAAATTCACCAGTAAATCCATCTGGGCCTGAGGTTATTTTTGGTTAGTACTTTTTTGATGACCTGATCAATTCCTTCTTTTGTTACATATCTGTTCAAGTTTTCTATTTCATTCTTTATAAATTTAGATAGGTTGTGTTTTTCTAAAGATGTATTCATTTCCTCTAGATTTTCAAATTTATTGGTGTACAACTCTTCAGAGTATTCTCTTATTATTCATTTTATTTCATTGGTTCTGTTGTTACATTATCCATATGATATTTTATGTGAGTTATTTGCATCTTCCTCCTTTTTACCTTTGTTAGATTTGACAATGGTTTGTCAATTGCATTACTCTTTTCCTAGAACAACCTTCTATTCCTGTTGATCCTTTCTATTGTTTTTCTGCTTCTATTTCATTTATTTCTGCTCTGTGGCACTGTGGGCTAATGCGTCAGAGTGCAAAGTCATTTGAACTGCAAAGTCAGTGGTTCAAGCTCTCCAGCTGCTCCTTGGAAACCCTATACAGGGTCGCATTGGGTCAGAATTGACTCGACAGCACTTAACAACAACAATAATCTTTATTATTTCTTTTCTTATGGTAACTGTAGTTTGACTTGCTGGTCTTTTTCTAATTGTTAGAGATGCTGTGTTAATGTGTTGATTTTGATTTTGTTTTGTTTTGTTTTTTTTTTGGATGCATGCATTTATTGCTATAAATTTCCCTCTCAGTACTAAAGGTTTTGATATGTTGTGTTTTTATTATCATTTGTTTCTAGGAATTTTCTTTATTTCATTTTTTATTTGTTCTACCACCCAGTAGCTTTTCAGCAGGGTGTTATTCAGTCTCCATGTATTATATTTTATTTCCTTGATCTTCCTATTGTTGATTTCTAATTTTATAGCATTGTGGTCTGAGAAAATGCTTTGTGGTATTTTTATGTTTTTCAATTTATTGCAACTTGCTTTATAGCCAAACACATTGTATATTCTGGAGAATGTTCCATGTTCACTGGAAAAGAAATTGCATTGTGCTGTTGTTGGGTTGAATGCTCTATACAAATCTATGATGTCAAGTTGATTGATTGTGTTATTTAGTTTCTCTTTCTCTTTCTTGAGTTTCTTTCTGGTTGTTCTGTCCTTTTTCAAAAGTGGCTTATTAAAATCTCCCACTATTATTGTAGAGTTGTCTATTTCTTTGATTTTATTAAGGTTTGATTTATGTATTTTGAGGCTCTTTCATTAGAAGCATAGATATTTATTATGGTTATGTCATCTTGTTCAATTGACCCTTTAATCATGAGATAATGTCCTTCTTTGTTTCTTATACTGGTTTTTGCCTTAGAATTTGTTTTATCATAGATTAATATTGCCACTTTTGCTCATGTCTTATTACAATTAGCTTGATATATTTACCATCTTTTAATTTTTAATCCTTTTTGTCTTTATGTATAAAGTTTTCTCTTGTAGACAGCATATTGAAGGATCCTTTTTTTTTTTTTTTATCCATTCTGCTCCTCTTTGTCTCTTGACTAGTGCATTTAATCGACTGACATTCAATGTTATTATTGATGTTGTTAAGTGCAATAGAGTCAATTCTGACCCATAGCGGCTCTGTATGGGGTTTCCAAGGAGCAGTTGGTGAGCTTGAACAGCCCAACTTGAGGTTCAAACCAACTTTGCAGCCTGGCACATATGGATGAATTGTCACTTACAGAAGTTCATTATGGAGTCAGTTCAAACTCATCGGGATCCTGTACAGGATTTCTGAGGCTGTAAATCTTTATGGGAACAGAAAGTCTCATCTTTCTCCCACAGAACAGCTGGCAGTTTAAAACTGCTGACCTTTTGGTTAGTGCCCTAACTCATAACCACTACACCCAGAACTCCTTTCATCTTCCTATAGATGTAGTCAATTTGATTTCTGTGTTTTCTCTGGAAAGGTCCATGTGTATAGTCACTGTGTACATTGCTGGAAAAAGGTAGTTGCAATGAGTAAGCTGTTGGTTTTGCAAAATTCTATCATACAATCCCCAGCACATTTCTATCACCAAGACCATATTTTCCAACTACTGGTCCTTCTTTGTTCCAACTTCTGCATTCCAACCATGAATAACAAACAATGCATCAATTCCTGCTGGTATTTGAAATACTGCTGGCATATCTTCTAGCATCACAGCAACATGCAAGCCACCACAGTTTGACAAACTGACAGATATATGGTAGACACAAATGTTTAGAGAATCTTTATTTACAAATGTTAAAAGCTATACAAATGTCCATCAATAGACAAATAGATAAAGTAAATGTAACATAGTCTTTTTTAATAATAGAATATTAATAAAAATAAAACAAATCACACTACTGATGCATGCAGCAACATAAGTCTATCTCAAATATATCAAGCAGAATGAAAGAAAAGAAGTCAGGTGCAAAAAGAACATGTGAATTATATGATAGTTTACATGGGAAAACTTTAGTTTTACATTCATTCCATCTTATATCATCTCACTGCCATGGTTCCAATCCCCTCCATGCATCATCAACCACCCAAAGGGTATATCCCAGAAACCCACCCCCTACACTTCCCCCTCCTCCCCCCAGTTTTCGGCCCACAGTCCCTTTCCCTCTCTAGGTCCAAAGTCCCCAGTCGCAAAGTTAGGTGGGTCTGGCTCCGGGGATTTGTGTATGGAGACAAATGAAAAGATGCTGAATCTCATTGACACATGCTGAAAGTGACACTCTGTTTGAATATACCTTTTAAATTTTTTTAAAAACAACTTAACGCAAGATAACTTGTTTTCACATTTAAGAAATAAAAACGAATCGGGCTGCGAACCTTAAGGCCAGCAGTTCGAAACTACCAGCTGCTCTGCAGGAGAAAGATGAGGCATTCTGCTCCCGTAAAGATTTACAGCCTCGGAAACCCTGTACAGGGTCGCTATGGGTCGGAACCGACTCGATGGCACTTAACAACAACAACAAACAACAATATAAAACCAGCAAAAAAAAAAAAAAAAAAAAGAACATGTGCTTAAATTGACTACATTTATGAGACGCTCTAGAGCATGTCAAACTGATGCATGGAGGATAAAACTCAGAACACTGATGCCCTCAGGAGGTGATGGTTGACTGGGAAGGGGCAGGAGGGAACTTTATGGGATAGTTGATTGTCATGTTCTACAGTTTGATGGAGGTTTGGGTTACAGCTTAATGCATTGGTAAAAACCCAACAAATATACACATATATTTTTGTATTACTTGTTTGAAAAATTTACCTGAACATAACAAAAGCTGTTAACCAATGTTGAATCTAATAAATGATAGGCATACTGGAGTATTTATGAAGATTGCAGATCATTGCAACTTTGAAATCCATAAAAAGTAAGATGGGTAGATGGATGAAAAGATGAGTAATAAATTCAGTATCAAATTAAAAAAAGAATGTAGATACTGAGTACATGGATGCTTGCTGTAAATTCTTTCAACTTTATAGGTGCAATGTAATTTTTTATTGCTTTTTAAAAACTTGCATAATAAAATATGAAGTTATAGTTCCAGACACATGATAGAATCAATCTTGGTCAAGATTTAAAATACATGTAGGAAGACCAGGTAGAAAGTGTCATTTTACCCTTTCTACCTTGGGTTTGAGATGAAAAGCATAATGAATGTGAAGTTGGTCAAGTTAATCACTGGTTTAGAAAGGCCTGGATACAGAAACTAAGAAAGAGTATCAAGGATTTTTTAAATAACTGACTCTTTCAACAAGTTGGGGTTTAGGAAATGGGAGGTTATGCATTTAGACCAGCTACATGAGATTTTTGAAAGATTTCCAACAATCTACAACAGCTAGACAATGCAATCAGTGGATCCAGGGTAAGGTATGGACTGTAGCTATATATTTAGGGTTCCGGTGTGGTGCTGTAGAGTAAGTACTCACTAGATTTCTATCTGCGATAATTGTAATTCAAACCCACCAGCTGCTCCTTGGAAACCCTATATGAGGTGTCTATGAGTTGGAACAGACGTCAAGACACTTAGCAACAACATCGCTAGCTCCACAGCTATATAAATGGGTCCAGGGCAAGAAGTCCTTGTGTGGTGCTGAAGGTTAGTATGCTGGACTTCAAGGTCAGTTTGAACCATAAGATCAACAGTTCAAGCTCACCAGTTGCTCCTCAGAAACCTTATACAGGGTCACTATGAGTTGGGACCAATTCAACGGCACTTAACAACAACAACTAGGATAAAGTTTGGACTGTGCTGTAAATTTACACATCACTGTCAAAGATTTATAATAAATGCAACAATGGCACAAATGAAGTAATAGAAAGAAAGGAAGAGAGATGGACTAAGGCAATGAAGAATATTAACATTCAGAAGCTAGAAACAGAATTGCTATTATTGTTAAGTGCCATCAAATCACTTTCAACACACAGCAAACCTGTATAGAGTTTCTAAGGAGTGGCTGGTGAGTTGGAACCATCGACCTTTGTAGTTCAAACCAACTTTTCACTCAGCAAATAAACCCACAGGGCCACACCAGGAGTCCAACAGAATTAGACAAATTAGAAACAGAATTAGACTAATGATAATAGTGGAAAAGGGACTGAGGAGTTTCTTAATCTTTAAAAACAATGATAGTGTCTAAAAAGATTTGTAAAAGTAAAGACAAAAGCAACTCTTTCCATCTATGGTAAAACTTACTGGTGAAGAATGATCACACCTTTTGTAGAAGGGGAAAAAATGGAACTATACTGTTTTTCTGGCAGGTCTTATGAGTGGGAACCAGGTTACACATGTCTCTACCTCTCTGTCATGCCAGTGCCAGGACTCAGTGCTGTGGTGAGCAGCCACCATCCTGGGTTACACCAAGGGAGCTAGGTCAGAGAACCATGTCTGTGTGAAGTCTTCACAATAGGATGTCAAGATGCTCCACAATGGAACACGCTAAAAAATGTGTTCAGGTGTTCTCAGGCCCAAACCTGAATCCCACCCTGAAATAAGTAACAGTGAAATCTTTACATAAGGCTTTGATTCTGGGTGCCAATCCTACTCATTTGCAGTAGCCTGAATTGTACCCTCAGAGTCTGGATTTACTAATGTTCAAGGTACAACACTGGACAGTAAGTGTTTGTAAATCCATCACACTTCTGCTCCTTGCCTCTTGCTTCTGATTCTTATTCATATTTTGAAATTAGCAGAACTGACACTGAAAGAATTCACATGGTCACTCTTTGCTTACCAAGAGACCGGGGCCACCTTTTGCAGGGCCGCTTTCACATCCTTGTTCCTCAGTGTGTAGATGAGCGGGTTCAGGGCAGGGCTGACTGCTGTGTACAACACAGCCCCCACCTTACCATTCTGCATGGAGGCACCAGAGCCCGGGAGGAAGTAGGTGTAGATGACAGTGGAATAGTACCAGGTGACCACCAGGAGGTGGGAGGAGCAGGTAGAGAAGGCTCGGCGCTTGCCCAAAGCTGAGCGGATGCGTAGGATGCTGGCCACAATGTAGCCATAGGAGACCAGAGTGAGTAAGAAGTTGACCACACCAAAGTAGACATCAGCCATGATAATCAAGATATTGTTGAGGGTTGTGGGACTGCAGGACAGCAACACCAGCATGGGGGCTTCACACATGAAGTGTTGGATATGGTTGGGGCCACAGAAGTTGAGCTGTGCTATGAGACCTGTGTTCGCTGATGTGTTCAATGCACTGATTGTCCATACAGCCATGGCCAGCAGTGCACACACTGGCCAGCTCATGATGGTGCCATACCGTAGTGGCTGGCAGATGGCCACATAGCGGTCAAACGCCATGGCTGTGAGCAGCAACAGTTCAGCACCCAGGAACCAGGTCAGGAAGAAGAGTTGCGTCAGACAGCCCCAGTAAGAGATAATGTCCCCCTGAACCACCAGGATCTCCAGAAGCTTGGGGAGAACAGTAGATGCACAGACGATGTCCAAAATGGCCAGGTTGATGAGGAAGAAGTACATGGGGGTATGCAGACCTGGGCTCAGAGTGACGACTATGACAATGAGGCCATTGCCTGTAAGGGCTATCAGATAGAGGAGGAGGAAAAGGATGGAGATCAGGCCCTGGAGATGTGGGTCTTCTGAGAAGCCCTGCAGGATGAACTCCACTACAGTTGTGTGGTTGTCTGCTGACATCTGGGTGAGTCTCTTGAGTACCTGTGCAGAGGGGGGCACATGAGAGTGGGCATCCTGATCTTCGACCAAGGCTTGTTGGCAGCTTCACTCAGAAAGCATACAACTAGTTATCATTACCCAGATGTAAAGGAATATGTTTCAGTACCCTCTTCTGGGAGCTCAAGAGTGAGAAAGTTCTGGTGTTTCTGACCATTTGGACTACTGACTGATTAATCACTTAGGTCCTTCTGTGTTCCTGCTCAAGACTAGGGGCAGCAGAGCCCTCTTAGGTCAGCAGAATGAGAAAACCATGAGGAGCAAGATAGGGTTCACCCAAAGGCTCTGCCTCTGAGCATCTGCCATGTCCCATTCAGTGACCACATGCAATTTGAACCCTCAAGCATCCACCAACATCCTATACATATAGCAGCGATGCTCACACACTCTCCACTGGTCCTTGACCCCTAAGACTGAGATCCTCCTAGCTGCAGATTTACCTGCAGGTCCACCAGAGCCTTGGCCACTCCGACCCTCTCACCTTCTGAATCAGATTCACAGAAGACTTGGTGGCAAGTTGCTGCTGAGTCAGACCTCCCTGCCACTTTATAGACTGCAACCTAATTTGGAGATGAGGTGCCCTGCTTGGTTCCCCTCTTACCAGGACATCAACAGCAAAGATTAATCAGCACAACCAGCCGATGTGTGGTCGGTTCTGACACTTTAGTTTCAAACTGAAATAACAAAAGACATCAGCAAATCATTATTAGGGGTTTTGTTGTTGTTGTTGTTTTACACAATAAAATAGGTCAGGGTAAAATTGAAACTGTCTTTTCAAAAACATCAAGAGCAAAATTAAGACAGATAATCCAAAAGGCCAGGGATAGACAGATAGATAGCTACTACCACTCATTATTACTGTTCACTGCTAATACAAGGGATGCATCCCAATCATTTTTTTCTGAACTTGATGTCACATTTATATGGGAGATACATAACATCTTACTCAGGTGGGAAGATGAGATGTGACTTGTGTCTAAAGGCCCGCACTTGTTGCTCTGTGGCTCCTGTGTTTTGCTATGGGCCTTTAACTGGTGACCATCCCCTCCAAAAGATACCTCATCTGGAGAGCTGCCCTGGAGAGTAATTACCCCACTTAGAGGTAGTAGGCCCCATGTGGCACAGTCTGTGGCTGACTCAATTCAATGTTGAGAGTTCTCAATGTGACTGGGGACTGTGCTCTCAGGCCTGGAAGTGACCTCTGAGTGGGGGGTTGGGAAACCTGCATGCCCCATATGCTGGGCCTGGCAACCAAGCTGACAGGTCTTTATGGGAAATCTTTGCCACAACAACTCAGAAAAGGGCCTGTGTAAAATCAACCTTTGTGGAAAGATGGATTTCTTCTTAAACAGCTTATAGAGCTGCATTAGTTTATAAACCCATGGTGGCACAAGGAGTTAAGCACTGGGTGCTAACTATAAAGGTGACAGGTTCCAATACAGAAGCCATTTACAGAGAGAAAGATGAGGCATTCTGATTCTGTAAAGACTTAGAGCCTCAGAAACCCTATGGAGCAGTTCTGTTCTTTCCTTTAAAGTTCCTATAATTGGAATCTACCCAACAGCAATCGGTTTAGTGGGCCTTTAGATTTCCACATCAGGACTCTTAGATTTGTAGAAAAGTTGAGAGAATGGTTTCAACACCTCCCGTACATCCCAATGCACACTCAATTTCCCTCTGTTGTAAAGTAGGATTGTACAAATGTCATAACAAATGGATCAATATTGATACACGATTACTAACTGAAGTCCACACTTCATCCATCCACTTTCCCTTAATGTCCTTTTCCTACTCACACAGAACCCAACCAGTAGTCCAGTTTCATGTCTCCTGAGGCTCTTCTTGACTCTGACCCTGATGGGATTAAAGCCTCTCTGTGTCCCCTTGAGTTCTGCCAAAAATGAGCAAACAGACTTTGTTCCAGAAGAGATATACCTCACAAGCATAGTAAAAGTTCAGGAAGCAGCCTTGGGAAGGGTTGTTTTCAAGGAGTTGCAGAAAATGCCCTCTCCACTTTGAAGAACTAAGATTGGTGCAGATTGAGGCTACATCCCGTGGTGCCTGGGAACAGTAGACTTGGAAGACATCTGCAGCTGTGTTTGGAAGTACGCAGAAAAGATCCTGAATGAGTCACAGGGTCACAGAAGGAGAACGTCAATGCAGACAGTGGAGAGTCCCATGGAAGACAAAGCAAAAGGCAGTGGGGATTCTGCCAGACACATTACCATCCCAGGACTATACTGGACCCTAAAGCTTATAGAATATCTGCTGAAGCTTCAAGGATTGATGGCCAGGAAGGCAAGAAAGCCACAGAGATGTGAAAAATGGCTCAAATTTTGTCTGTACTGCAGAGATAAATGCAGGGCTGTCCCTTAAAAGGTTTATCTAAGGAATGGTAAGGAGACAAGTGTTCTGGCTGCCATTTGAATGAGGAATCTCTGAATGGTTACTATTAACCAACACAGTCACCATCTCCAGCTGTAAGAGATCACTAGCAAATTGAAATGAATGCTTTCATATTTGGGAGCCTCCAAGAATCACAGAAGCCCTGGTAGCATAGTGGATTACAAGCTGAGCTGCAAACTAAAAGGTCAGGAGTTCAAATCTACCAGCCACTCCATGGAAGAGAAATGAGTCCTTTTGTTTCTGTAAAGATTTACAGCCTCAGAAATCCCATACAGGGCCGCTATTAGTCAGAACTGGTCATGGCACTCTATCACCACATCCACCACCATGCAGCATGGACTCTTATAGTGTGGCACTATAGGATAAGCACTGGACCCTATACAGGGTCATTATGAGCTGAAACTGACTCAATGGCACTTGACAACAACAATGCATCATGGCAGACTGTGTGACCTTGCTCTGCTGAGTGTAGAAAGAGAGGAAATTGAAAAAAAATTACTTTGAGCACATCATAAACATATTTTCATCAGTGAAATCAATGAAGATGCAGTTTTCATTTTGTGTTAAGTACAAGATTAATGAATTTGCCTTGTATTTTTGAGCTGATATTATGATAAAATTATGTAAAAGATGGGTGACAGATATCTGAACAGGGGTCGATTTCAGTAATTGCCATAGACACTCTTTTCCTCTGTTTCCTCACTTTACTCTCAGACCAAAAGGAAGAAGCATCTGTGAGGAAGGTTCAGAACTAGGCATGTGGTTACACCCAAGCAGGTCCAGGTCACTGCAGACCAGAGAGACCATGCTGTAACACCCCTGAGAAGCTGACACCCCACAAAGCCAGGCTTTTCTGAATTATAGAAAAATAAAGGCAGTTCTATCCTCATTTTCCTCCCCAACCTGTCTGTCATGCTGAGATACAGCTAAGTTAACACAGCTGCAGGGATTCACTGAGAACACAGCCCCCTGCACATCCCAGTGTCTGACTCTATTTCTGAAACCGTAATTTGCAAGGCCCGAACACAAAGTCCTGTACTAAGAGAGTCCCCACAGTGTCCACCTGGCAGCATGTATGGGATGGCTTCATTCATCATCTGCATCTGGTCCAGCTCCATCCACTAAAGAAGTCCCCTCCTGGACTCAATGGAGCCTTCTATTCTTCTGTCCCACAGTCCCTGGAACCTTTCAAGCCCTCCCCAGATTCTGCTCCTACCTATAAATATTAATTAGAGTCAATAAAGACATTAAACTAATTTGAAGATTTTCTTTAACTTCATTTGAAGTTGTCAAGAATATAATTTTCCTTGGATCCTCAATCAGCACTCATGGAAACAGAAGTCAATAAATCAAAGGACTCTCAGTTCCTGATTGCAAAACCTACGTGGTTGAGGTTTAGGTCTGGAAGAGAACAGTTTTCTTTGTACAGAGTTGCCGAGACACTGAAAAGACGACCAGAAACCAATCTGAGAGAGATAAGTTCATTACAGAGAAGAAGATAAAAAAGAGATGGTTTATGATCCAGCAATTCCTCTACTTGGTATTTATCCATAAGAAATACAAGCCAAAACTCGAGTAGATATATGCACACCAAATGTTCATAGTAGCACTATTTATAATAGTAAAAAAATGGATTCAGCCTAAGTGCCCATCAATGGAAGAATAAATAAATTTTAAAAACTTTGGTACATACACACAGTGGAATATTATGCTACCTTGAAGAATAACAAGGAAGCTGCAAGCCATGGCATTATATGGATGAACCTTGAGGATATTATGTTGAGTGAAATTAGTCAGTCACAAAAGGAGAAACACTGCAAAGAACCATTATTGTAAAAGACTAAGAAAAAGTACCCACACTAAAAAGGGAAGCAAAAAAAAAATGTCTTTGCTTGCTACCTAGGTGTATAGGGTGGGGTGAGAGAGGAGGGAGGGGAAGATGGAGCACAGGGTAGGGAATAGACACAGAATAGCTTGGGTGCTGGAGAGGGGGGCAATACACAAGAAGGGGTAGGGGAATGGAAGAACAAGGCAGATGGGAGAATGATTAGGCATGTTTACATGGGTTTAGGGGGGACAGAGTTAAATAATGATGTATGCACAACCTTGGAACAAGAGGGTTCTGGGATACAGGGATTGAAGCATGATTTGAATTAGTCAAATAGGGGAAATAATGTTAAGATGCTTGGCTGCCTTTTGAACCTTGCCTACTATTGTAAAATAGACACTTGAGGGGGAAAGAAAGGAATAGCCAGAAACATTACCATAGAAATCTTGTAAGTCTGTCTTCAGTCTATAACATATTGGGACACTTAAAATGGGGATTTTCCAGTGAAGGAGGCTTCCTGCAGAGCCTTTGCATTGCATAAGACCATAAGTGGAATCCTGGACCCCATCCAGAATCTTCTGAGGTGGTAAATTTCCAGTTGAAAGGACAAATAGACCAGCCTGGAGCCACTAGAAGAAAAAAAGACACTTCTTGAAAGAAAGACCAGCAGGAAAAATCAAAAACAATAACAGTAGTCTGATTGACTACTACAAGAACAAGCAAGTTGTTC